AGTGGGGAGCCGACAGAACTTCCACAGGGAAGAAAACATTACACAACAAGTAGGTGTACCGGGTGAAGTCTAAGTGTGATGACAGCAAGAGGTATAGGGCTAAACTTGTTAAAAAAAGGTTTTCAGCAGATGCAGGATATTGGTCATGCAGTGGGAGTCAGAAGCAAAGACAAGAGTAATTAAAGAAATAGCTTGGAGGTGCAAAGCTATGTTGACTGAGGGTGTTATTCTTGAGAAATTGAAGTTGTGCACAAGTCATATGGTGTGAAGACAGAGACTTTGAGTTGCAGAGGTGGAGGATTCATGTTTAAAGGAAATGGCGACACCGCCAGTGGAGGAGATTAGTTTGAGGAAGGAGATGTTGCTTGTGTACCGGTCTCCAAGTGGGAGATTCATTGAGTTTTGGAGCCCGGTCCGATGGTTCCCACTCCCGATCGCAAAACATCGCGACCCCGCTCCCGCTCCTGATCGCGAAAGGTCACGACCCCAACTCCCGTTTTCGCATGGCGTCGGTTCGCGAACAGCGCCAACCACTTTCGCCTTCCTCTATCGCGAAGCGAAACATCCCTTCACTCGTTATAAGTCGCGAACAGGCAGCAGTTCCGGGTGGGGCATGTGTGGTTTGAGCTCCAAGGCTTCTTCCTTTGTAGGTTTTGAAGAAGAAAGAAGAAAAAGATTGTTCTCCCTTGGCTTCTTCTTGGTAGCTTGTGATAGAAGAGAAATTGGAGAAAATAATCTTCTTGGTAGCTTGTGGAAGAAGATTATTTCTCTTGTAAGTTTATCTTTTTCGGTGTATCTCGGTATAGAGAGAGAAGAAGAAAGAGCAACGAAGTGAGAGATTCCTCTTGGAAGTCAAAACGATCGACTGGTGTAAATTCTTTAAGTAGTAAAATCCTCTGCAACTCTATGGATGTAGGCAATTTGCCGAACCACGTAAATCTGTGTGTTCTGCTGTGTTACTGTTTTCTTGTGTGAATTTTCTCGTTTTATTTTTTTGCTTCGTCGTCGATTCTTCTATTTTATCTCGATATACCACAACAATAATAATACTAATTTTTTATATTCACTCACAAATTAGAAGAAGTATAAAAAATGATCTTAATTTACTAAAACTAAATGAAAATATGACACTAAATAAGATGCAATGGAGAAAAAGGATTCATGTAGCCGACCCCACGTTGTGGGATTAAGGCTTTGTTATTGTTGTTGTTGTACTCACAAATTAGAAGAAGTAAATAACTTATGGTAGACAAGTTACCTTATAATAGAAAGAAAGCTGGAAAACAAAAGAGATTTTTGCAATTCAATATGTTATAATTCAAACTATGAAAGCTACAATTACTTTATTTTCTTTGTAATGGCAGGATGACAATATTTGGACAGGCAAAATAGACATCAAAACGGCTATCACGCTTCTCCGAATCGTGCAGCCATATAGGACAAGTTACTGCTAGAGTGGTAGTTGGCTAACTACATCCTGGTTGCTGCATTGTGCATGATTTGTTGGGATCTGGATCCCTGGGATTAATGGACGTAGGATGTAGCAATGACTGTTGCAAGGATGGCCGAATCAAGTTGAGAATCTATGTTGATTATTTATAGTTTGAAAGTAAGGTTATTGAGTTGTGATTGATCCTGGTAAGAATTTCAGCAATCTGAAGTTTTGTTGGTGTGCAATTTACTTGGATAATTCTTGATCAAAATGTTTTTTTAAGAAAGTGTACATCACTTTTTTTTCGATCATGGTGGATAAGGTTCTTAATAATTTTAATATTTACTTGGCTATCACACCATATTATCATAAATTTTGTAGGGCAACAACTATAGTTTTTGAGAAAATATTTAAGCTACATGCCTTCTCAAGTACCATTGTATGCGACATCAAGGTGCTCTTTTGTGAGTTTATTTATAAGCTGACTAATAACACTAATAGTTAGCATATATAAAGTTTTGTATGAAAACCATAAATGAGTTTTCCTGTTAATTGTTAGTGTCTTCTGAAAACTAAGATATAATCCCCACAGTAACAATTTTGTTTGATTGATCCATTAATGCATTTCTGGATTTACATATTTGGTCAGCATTAGTGAATCTTTTAAAACTTCTATTTCTCTCCCTGAATAACTATCCTTTTTTTTTAATTTCTTTGTGAAATAACTCAGTATCTTGTATACGACATCAAGATGCTATTTTGTGAGTGTATTCATAAACTAACTATTAACACTAATAGTTAGGCATATATAAAGTTTTATTTGAGAATTATAGATGAGTTTTCCTACTCATTTTTAGTGACTTCTATCAACTAAGATATAAACCCCTTAGAAACAATTTTGTTTGATGGATCCATTGATCCGTTTCTAGATGTACATCCAACTCAATCAGCATTAGTGAATCTTTTAAAACTTCTATTTGTCTCCTTAAATAGCAAACCTTTTTCATTTGTCTTTGTGAGATAACTTAGTATTTTGTATTTGACATCAAGATGCTCTTTTGTGAGTTTATTCATAAACTGACTAATAACAATAATAGTTAGACGTATGTAACATTCTTCATGAGAATTTTAGACGAGATTTTCTACTAATTGTCAACTAAGATAAAATCCCCTTGGTAACAATTTTGTTTGACGAGTTCATTGTTACATTTATGAATTTAAATTTAAGCATGCTTGTTTTATGTAATAAGTCAAAGTTGTACTTCTATTTTGAACAGAATCTCTTTGCTTTATGTTGCTATTTCATTCTTGGGAAACATTTAATAAACCAAGCTCCTTAATTTTAAATTCTTTAGCTAGAATATCTTTCATCTTGTATATTTTCTTTTCTTTTTGATCTTTTTCTAAGATGATGTCAATCTGTACAATTAAGTTGATTGGTCGATAAGGCATGCTCAGATTGTCCTTGAGAGTATATATGCATTCAGTCACCATTAGGGCTATAAAAACGGCCCGTTGTTCGCAAATAGTTTATATTCGGCTCGTTAAGAAGCTCGTGTTCGATTCGTTCGCTAAGAAAATGAGTCGAACACGAACAAATATTTGTACGTTCGTGTTCGACTCGTTTTGGCTCTAATAACTGCAAGGCTACATAGATTTATAATCAGATAAAATTATTAATTTAAAAATATAAAAAATATTAAATTAATTCAATCTAAATTAATATTTTAATATAATTAATGAGATTTATAATAAAATATAAATCTTGTCTCAACCCTTAACATCATACAGCTGCGCGACTAGGGTTGTCCAAATGACTCTTTGTTTGAGAAAAACTTGTGTTCAGCTTGCTAAGCAAACGAGCCGAACACGAACAAATTTTTTGTGTTTGAAGTATAAACGAGTCAAACACAAATAGTAATATTTTTTAACGAGCAGGACACGAACAGTGATATTTTTTAACAAGTCGAACACGAGCTGAGCCCGGGCTCGCTGGTGTTCCGCTCGTTTACACCCATAGTCACCTTAATGAATCTATAGAACCAAGCTCTTCATGATTGTCTTAAGCTACATGGAAACTTATTAAGCATCCGAACTTAATGCACTTTACTTTTACTTTTAAATCTAGGATAAATTGTTATATAGATTTCATCCTCTATATCCTCATACAAATATTTTCTTACATCTGGTTGATAAAGCGACCAATACAGACTAGCAACAAGAGAGAAATAAATCTAATAGTGTTCATTTTAACAACGTAGGCTTAGGTTTATAATAGCTGATTCCATGGGTTTGAGTGAAATTTTTTACCACTAACTTTGCTTTGTTTCTATTGTCACCTTCATCAAACTTACATGTTTTGTTGAAGAGCCATTAGCATTCAATAGATTTCTTCTCTTTGTGAAGATTTGAATATTCCACCTACAATTTCTTTCAATAATCTAGATTTGTGCATGAATACTATTTTTTCAATCAAGTTCGTTCAATACTTTTTGAATGTTGCTTGGAATTTCTGAAATGCTTGTATTGAAGGCATAAAATTTTTAGAGATTGTTTGGCATAGTAAATAGAACAGCAGATTGGATGTGCAGAGTAATTTCTTATGCTTTTCTTGAGAGCAACAGTATTTATATTTAGATCATCATCAAAATCCATATTGTTTTATACTAATGATATGATGTTAGGGCCTGGGTCAAACATTTGGCTTAATTAGAAAAAATGCTTTATTTCACCTTGTCAGTTAACTAGTGTCATCGCTAGGAACAAATAATCCCTTTGTGCTTTGCTCGTGTGTGTTCTTTGAAAGCCTGAGAGTCAAGTAGATTTAGAAGCTATATAAGATGAGACATTAATAAGGCAGGATTGATATCCTCAGAAAACTTCTATTCACAGAGACAATTGATGTTCTGCCTCATCATATACAGCTTTGAGGAAGAAGGATTAATATTTGAAGAAGGTTATATCCATAGTGGTGTGTTTTTTTTAGTATTAGGAATATAGAATATTTTAATCCATGTTGGTGAGGAGATTAGCCCATAAAAATATATTTTATGGCTTTTGGATATGATTTTGTTTATTGATGAAATGGAATGCGCACACACAGACAATTGAATGCTCTGATAGGTATGATGCAGATAAATCTATATGTGGTATGGGTATGTGTGAGGGTTTAATAAGGAGTTTTTAATTTCAGAAATCTTGAATGCATTTTAATGAGATATGCAACTCTGAGTACCTCTCCTTCTAATAATATTTTGAAACAATTTTAGTTATCATAATTGATTTAGCATTTTTAGAAGATATCTAATTTTTAACTTTCTTCTATTTCATTCTGTTGAAGAGTTAAAATACAAGAGATATAGTGAATAATTTCTTGTTGGAGGAGGTATTCTACTATAATGGATTGAAATTATTCTTGCTTATTGTCAAGGAATTAGGCTTTTATGAGATGGAGTTAAAAACCATAGTTTGTTTTAGGCTTGTCTTTAATTAGAGAGGTTCAAGTAATTTAGATGTGGTCATCAACAAAAGATATAAATCACTTAACACCTGAGATATTGTTTACCCAAGATGGGCTGTAGGTGTCACTATGTATCAACAAGTTAAGAAGCTTTACAAGGATGTTTAGGATAAAAAGTTCAAATTTGTTTATATGATTGACAAGCGACACACTAAAATGCTTTAGGGCCCGTTTGGGGCAGCTTATAAGTGCGGGCGGCGTTTTGAAAA